CCTGGAGAAGAGGAGGCTGAGGGGAGACCTCATCGTGCTCTACAACTACCTGAAAGGAGGTTGTAGCGAGGTGGGGGTCGGTCTCTTCTCCCAAGTAACCAGCGATAGGACGAGAGGAAATGGCCTCAAGTTGCACCAGGGGAGGTTTAGACTGGACATTAGGAAAAACTTCTTCACTGAAAGAGTGGTCAGGCCTTGGAACAGGCTGCCCAGGGAAGAGGTTGAGTCACCATCCCTGGTGGTGTAGATTTAAAAGACGTGTAGATGAGGCACTTAGGGACATGGTTTAGTGGGCATGGTGGTGTTGGGTTGACGGTTGGACTTGATGATCTTAGAGGTCTTTTCCAACCTTAATGATTCTATGATTCTTCTATGATTCTATGACACATCTCAAACTTGACACAGTTATTAGTTACCTGAAATGTTTCAATAGTTCTTAATGGACCTGATAGAAATTTTTGTGTCACTTGAACTTAGTGAAAGAGTGGCAATCTGTGAATTGTCAGAAGTCTTCAGCTGGTCACCTATTTCTATAACACAGCTGAATGTACAGTGTGAAGTACCTGGACTGCTGCAAGAAAAAGAGCTAAATGTAATTTTAAAAAATCCTGAATAGGTTTTGATGCATGCATATCTACAGAAAAATGAAATATATTAATTACAGAACTTATTGGAGAACATAAATGATGTACACTGGCCTTTGCTCTCCAGTCCACTCTCTTTTTTTTAATGATGACTGATTTACATTGCGGGTTGCTAGTAACAAAATAAACTTTTCTTAAGTAAGAAAGACTGTCATTTTTTCTCTCATTTGCAGTGTCAGGTAGTTGTGTTCCATTCAACAAGAAAACTGCTTGAGCGTAAGCAATTGCTTATATAGAGAGATAGATATAGGTGGATACAGGATCTTAAAAGGAACTTGTAACTAAATTCTTTACAGTCTATATTTATTTTTAAGATATTAATTTGTAGTAAATTACTGCTAGTATATAATTAAAATGGAAATGTTCGTCAGATGAATTGTTCGTTAAATGAGGTAAAACACTCTTCTGCATGACAGAAGAGTTCTCTCTTCATCACAAACTGATGTTTTAAATACCTAGTATTTACAGTGTAAGTCATTAGAGTAAGAAATGTGGTATTGTATTGTTAATAGTGGTTGGTGATTGATATTATTTCGGTGTGTCCACAAGCATAGGACTTAGTTATTGAAACAAAAAATACAAGTATTATCCGGAAGAATTTGCTATTGAAATATGAGAGACCAATAACCATAAGAATATAATAAATGGCAACAGTGAGATGAATTTTTCTTTAGTGCGATAAGCACCTTTCACAGCATACTAGCTATCTAATTGTGGTTGATTAACTGTGAGCAGAAGTGAGTTTTAAAGATGGAGTTGAAACAGGACAGTGTTGGATTGACATCGGCTTTTTTGATACTGGTTGTGTTTTATGTTTGTTCTTGATAATGACTCCCTTTATACGTAAGGGCTAATATGGCATAATATGCTTCTGAAGTCTGGGGAAAACACAGGTGTACAGCTTTTAAAGTCTGATCATAGAGCAGGTTTACAGCCTGAAGTTCCTGAAGAGTTTGCAGTGGAGCAAGGTAGCAGGATCAAGAGAAATGGACTCTTCATTTTGCATTTTGAATGAACATAAAAGAAGGTGAATAGACATTTGCTAAGCACTTACAAGAAGTTTCTGGAGTAGTCTGGAAAAGTTTGGTAGGAGATGGCATACAGGTTGGTAGGTTTTTGTTTACCCTTAGAAAGGACAGAGTTAAAGTTTAAACATGGGAGAGAATAAAGTTGATTTGTTCATTATGTTTAATCTTCTTGTGAGCTGCAACCGGGAAAGAGGTGCAATGCTCTTCCCCTTTTCTCACTTCTAGCCATAGGTTCCCACTGCTTCATTTGTTGGATCTAATGATTATTCAGCTGCAGCATGTAGTAAAAGAAAACAGAAATAGGGGAAATCTAATTTTCTGCAGAATACAGTAGCTGATCTCAGAGACCCTGTGCCAACCCTGTGGTCTGATGCCAGAAAGTTGGTGGAGAGGGAGAAGAGGGGAAGAATGAAATTTCACCTGTTGTCCACAGCAGCAGCAGTCTACAACTAGATCAGATTAGATTTAAGAAACACTATGAGAGAGACAGCAAGCAATGAACTCATGACAAGGGGAGAAAAAAGGTGCATGAGAAGACCAAACATAATCAAATCCTAGAGGTGCTTAAGGATGTCAGAGGGTATACATTTTAGCCCACACAACTGAAGAAGCCCCTTGAAAGATGTTAAATTCAGAGCAAAAATGACAGGAAAAAAGCAGTCTGCAAAACAGATGATCTGGCTTTTATTTCAGTTTTATTTCGTAGCAGGTGCTATTTTTTCCCCAGTTTTATAACTTCTTGTAGTTTGTTCTCTAATGAAGCACTATTGTAGAGTTTGAAATCCCTTTTGGTATTTTTCATTGTACTCATTTTAGGCAAAAGGTACAGGGCAGTTCTGATTCAAAACTGACAGATTCATTGTCCCATCACAGTGTCTTACACTTAAATTTTATTTAATTCTTGGTGACAGTCTCACTCATTGTTCTATCTCTAGAGTATAGTTTAGGAGGAATTTATACATAGAAGTATTTGGTATAGGAAGAAAACTTTTTCATAAAAATGCTAAGCAAAATGTAAGCTTACATTTATATTTTTGGGTTTTTTAATCCTTAAATGAAGTTAAGATGTAATTCTTTTAAGAAGGAGAATATGGATATTACTGTCACTCAGAAATAGTGTCCAATTATCCTTGGGACCAAACTTATTCAAAACAGATTGATAGGCAATATTTGTGTACCCTCACACTATTTGGAATAAGTAATGTGCATGCTAAAATGGAAGACTACCCTTTATAGTTACCACTATACATGCATTGTAAATGAGTGAAAATATTTTCTTATAGCATTAATTCTAGTGTTTACTATGGTTTTCACAGCTTTTGAATCTATGGACTACAGCCAGCTGTCAAAAATTCTTGCAGTCTGCTCTTGTTAATCATCAAAACTGTAACTGACAAGTTGCTGAAGTTTTATTTTCCGTCTATTTCTGCAGGACAACTGTAGCTCAGTTATCTTTGTGCTGTCTACTGTAATAAAGGAATTGCATGTTCCCAGCTGAATATTTTAGGTGTTTGTCAGATTTATTAACACACGATTTGTCATGTATCTCTCACTAATTACTTCTAGATAAAATTGTGATGTTACTTTAGAATGCAGAGTATTTTTGGAAAACAAAATATCCTGGCTCTTTCTATCCTATTACTATGAAAAGCAGTGCGTTTTCCTGAGGAGACATTTAATTGTAGATGATAAATTTGGTAACAGGATTGTTTGTTGTTTTTTGGTTGGTTTGTTGTTTTTTTTTTGTTTTTTTTTTTTTTCCTGGTAATAGTATTGTAATAATGAATTTAGATCATAAATGAAGAACTTGTTTCAGCCCCTGCTTAAAAGCAGGAAACTTCTAGGAAGAGAAACCCAGTTGGAAATCTTTGTGTTATACATTGAAAAATAAAACAAAATTAATGTGTCTTGGTACTAGTGAAATTTCCACTGATGATGTTCTTTACAGCTTGGCCAAATTCTGTTGCTGGCCAGTATGAAAAAGCCTGCAGAGATGTGCTTTAATCAACACTTGATTTTTTTGGTTTTGTGTTTATTTTTAACGTGATCTAATGTGATGCCTTTTTCTTTGAGTGCCATAGATGTTAGTTAATATCTGACTGTCCTGCAGTAAGAAGCAATTTCTGTCATTTTTCTTCTAGACATTTTAATGGACAGAATTTTAATTTTACAAAATCCTGTAGCTGGTTGAGAAATTTGAAGTTTGTTTATTATTGTCACTTAAAAATGTTGGTTGAATGTTGAATTTCTTTCTTGATTTAAAGCTTAATCAGGTTTATATTTGTTAGCTATCCAAACCTGGAAAAGTCATGGTTTCTAAATTTTCTTCCGCATAATTGCTTAAAGAAAACAAGAACTATTGTTTTAATGGATAGCTGGAGGAAAGTAACAAAAATCTTGAGATTGTTTAATAATAATGCTTACAGTTAGAGAGCTATGAAAATATTTTTAGTTGATTGCGTACTGGTTTTAATTCATTCTGTGCATGTCATTCTCATTTCAGGGTTAGTCAGCAATATAAAACCAACTTTATGACTGCAGATAACTTATCGATTTGTTTCTGGCCTACTTTGATGAGACCTGATTTTGAAAACAGAGAATTTCTTTCTACCACCAAAATCCACCAGTCGGTTATTGAGACCTTCATTCAACAGTGTCAGTTTTTCTTTTACAATGGAGAGATCATAGAAGCACCTAACCCAGTGGCCTGTCAGCCACCGCCTTCCAACGCAGTGCAGATGGTGGAACCAATGGTACCTCTTCAGTTACCACCACCACTGCAGCCTCAGCTGATACAGTCACAATTACCAGCAGACCCTCTTGGTATTATATAAATAGAAGATGATTGCAGGCAGCCTGGCACTGGACAGTAAAGTCAAGCTATAGACATGCATGTTTCAGGATACAGTAATGTACTTCATATTTATGAAAAATAATTCCCATCCAGCTGATTGGACATCTTTTTGTTATATCCCGTACTGTGTTCCTCATTTGTACACACTGCAGATAAAAACTATGTGATAAGCATGACTGGAGAGGTTTAATTTTTAAAAGCAAAAATAGCTATAAAGTACAAAGCTGCTGCTGCATGATACCTTATTGCAATCACTATATCATTCCTGTGACGGTTTGTCACAATATATTGTGAATAAAATTTTTCTATAGAAATTTAATGATTTAAAAATTACATTTATGAAACATTCAATGCTTACAGCCTGCTTTATGGCTGTTTTTGTTATTTAACATGCTATTTTTGGCAATTTTATTCACATCAAGCATTCTGTGTAAACAACTAAAGCCCAGCTATAGTTTATTTTGTAATCTCCTGGCTACTTATGTGACGGTATGCTTAGGATGGTTTATGGAAGAATGCAAAATGCACTGTTGAGAATTTTACAGTCCCTCACCATCCATCTTTACTTGTAAGTAAACCTGTGGACAGTTTGTTAAGGGTGGGTGAACTTGCTTATTATTTCTTACAGCACAATACCAAGGACATGCTTGTTGTAAAAGTGAGTTTCAAATATTGTACAAAAATTTTGATGTTGCCTACTTATTTCTTTATGTTCCATTACTGAACTAAACATTTTGTAAAACTGTTAATTCTGTAAACAGCTGCATGTTTAAAAGATCATTGATGGTCTTGTAAACTTAATCTAATATATTTTAGATATTTTAATTTTTCCCACTTGGGAATACATGTAGTGTTTAGAAAATAGTTCATGACATTTTCATATAAGGTTATATAACTTTTCATACATAAACATGAATTTTGTTGTAGTAAAATTCTCTAAACCAAACAATGTTTTAATCTAGGACTTCAATTAATCTATTCTTTAAATCTATTTTTATGTGACCCTTTAAAGATATACAAAAATGCATTGCTAATACATAGCAATAAATACTTTGGGTACTGACAATTAACCTCTTTGGAGTGTATGTATATAAAATCACATAAACTTGTATTCATATTTTTTTCCTGTGGTATGTTGTACTAAAAATTCAAATGACTGATTTTTTTTTTTTTTTCCCCCCCCCACCATATTTTTAAATTATCTCTTTTTCATTTATTTTTCTTTTACATTGGTACCAATTTTGCTGTAAAAGAATGCTGCTTAATTTAAACAAATCTTTTGGTTAAATATTTTGTTAGTGGTAAAAAAAATCTAGAAGGTTACAAATTGTAGCAAAGGGGAGACCATAGATAAACACTACCTGTGAGACTTTTCATAGCAGCTTTTTTTCTTTCATGCTCAAAATATACCTTTTTAGGTCTGCAAAGAAGAAAACATTTTTAGCTCATTCAGCTGCTAGAATGTTTTGTGTAGTTTAAAAAAAAAAAAAGCTTTATGATGGTCACTGTTGTAATCTTCACTTATAACAAGATTTAAGATCGTCTTGTATGTATTATAGTAAATAGATGATTTTGAGAATTAAGGCTTTTAAGAGTTTGATTTGCTCCATTTTCCCAAAATAAAAATTGCCTTTCCCACTTATGTCCTAGGTATTGTACTTCTAATTATGACTTGGATTATCATTCTAGATTACTATGATACCATAAACCCGGCTGCTGTTTGAAGTACATGTATATTATAAATTATCTTGATATTGTGTTATATTCTTGCAAGTAATTATCTTTTCTAAGAAAACATAAACAAAAAAGAAAAGTCAACCCTATTGCTATTGCAAAGCACACAGGAATTAATAGTACAATAAAGTCTGTCCTGTAAATTGTAGTATTCTTAACTTGTTCTACTTTACCTGTTGTCTATATAGCTTTTATTTATAGTTGTCAGTCTAATCTTGGCATGTTTAGCAAAGAAAATGAAACTTCAAGAGTTTTATAAACTATTTCTAGGTTGCTAAAGAATTTATTTTTCTACTGTATATGGTATAGACAAAGCATCCACCTGTACAGGAAACAAGTCTATTTCTAATAGAAGTAAGCTTAAAAATAAATGCCAGTCATATCCATATTTAAAAGTTCTATCTATAAAGTATCTCCAGTCTTTGTAATGTGAATTACATTTTAAACTTTCTACAAATTCCAAGTTGTTTGCCATAATATTTAACTAATCTTTGAATACTAATTTTTAGAATAATTTACATTCCATTTCATGACAAACTTTAATGTTGAACTTGTGATCAGAAATATTTGCAGTATCATTTATTTCTTGTGTATGATGTTATGGCTAAATCACTTCATGATTTTAAAAAATCTTAACACTTACATTTGGCCAAATATGAAAGTATTATTACATTTACTGGATAAAACATTAAAAGAGAAATAATAAGAAAGCATGGCATGTGGCACTTAATTGTCACATGGAAGAATCCCTGCATACTGTTTGCATTATAGAAGTGTTATATGCAGGAATGTGGATATGTGTGTATGTGTAATATATACACTTTGATATTTTTTATGTGTTTGTGTGTTTATGTACACAAGCACATGTGCACAGACTTGCATGCACATATATCCACATAGTAAAGTTTTTGAAAGATACTAGGAAATTATACCATCATTATTAAAGATTTATAATAGAGCTTTCTCTATCATTATTTTTATTAGTGCTATAAAATGAGGAAGCATGTCATTATATATGAATTCCTCATACGTTGGCTCATGTAGTCCCTTCTAGTTTTAATGAAAATCCAAACAATAATAACTATATTTTTAATGTGAGCATTTTTACAGTAATATCTATCTTGATAAAGATACAAATGTATATTATTTTTGGTTGAGCATCTCAGTGACACTTTATGGAGTAGTTTGTCTTTTTTATGTAATATTCGTATAGACATACTGCAGTGTATTGTCTTTCAATGGTTTAGCAATTTTAAAATCCCAGACCTAAGTTACAAAAGTGCCATTTTAAGTAATGCTTAACAGGTTATTTCAAAATTCCTTACCCTCCATGATCTTGGAATTTTAACATATATAGTGTAAATAGATCGCAGATGTCAACTTAAGTGAAAAGGAACTTTTTTGTTGTTGTATGTTTTCTCCATTATTTTAATCCTGGTTGCTAGGAAATTATAGATATGTTTATTTTTAGTTGCTGGAGTTTAGCTTCCAATATTTATGATAAATATAGAAAAACTATCAATTGGAGATTAAAAAAATTGGCCTTAGCTTACGTGCTTATTTCAGTTTTTTCAGTAATTGTGATGCTGTTTGTCAACTGAAAAAATTACACATATATATAAAAATTTTAAAGTAAAAATTTTGTTCTTTGTTTATAATGTAATCGTTTGTTGCTACATCAGCAGAAGACTGCAGTGAATTAAATATCAGTGAAGCTTATTCTGTATAAAACATGCAACAAATAAAATACTAAGATGCTTACTGTGTATAATGTTCAGTTTAGTTGCCTACTAAATTTTTAAAGGCAAAAGCACCCTATCTTTCACATACACAGAGATGAAATTTAGCAGTAAATCTTGCTAAAGTGCACCAAGTGTTTAAGGCCTTCTCGGGGGGGAGGGTGGCTCTCTTCTTGCATTTGATAGGTCTTTTTAAACTGCTGAATTTTGGAAGTGATTCTCACAATGGTGAAGACCCTTCTGTAGGTAATGCACCCCCCCAAGACGGCTACGTGCATGCAGTAGGGAACAGGCTTCGAAAGTGACAGAATGTACGATGTTCTATTTAACTCTGCAGTGCATGTGAAATTCTGTGGCTCATGTGACCTCGTACATTTTTCACCTGACTGAGCTGCTCATCAGGAAAGGCTGTGATTATGGAAATCAGTTTTTCAGGTTTCTACCATGTTAAAGGAATGGGTCTCTTTAAAATTATTTTTCCTATGGAATTTTTAAACCTGAAGTAAAAACTGTGGGTTTTGAGGTCAGCTTTAAATTTTCAGAGTTGTACATTATTGGTCATAATTACTACACGGGATAAATCCAGCTACGATAGTAGTACTGCTTTTAGTTCTTGTGCATGCAACATCTATGCTTAGTTTGTTTCTTCAGAGCATCTTGTGTCATATGGCAGAAATAACTGCAAAAACTTCCTGGCAGCCTTCAAATCTGAACACTGTTCAGGTTTTATTATATATCTTAACACTTTCAGATACTGGAGCATTTTAATCTCAAATAGGATGCGTCTTACCTCTAATTTACTCAGTGTGCAAATCTCAGTTTTTTAGATTGCTGTGTCAAAAACCATCTCTACTGAATCTGAAGCATAATGCAGTGTTCAGGCTCTGCAGCAGACCACAAGTTTCTGATGAATAGCTGTCCTAGAGAACCAAAGTGTAACGTTAGTGTTCACTTCTGTCAAATTCGATCCTTCAACTAATTCATAGTTTCCATGGAATCAGAAGGGATGAATTTAATCTGTCATCATGGCTAGTGAAAGCGAACACTTCCTTCCTTTTCTTATTGACAAATTCTTTCCCAAGTGTGTAGATGGTGCATGTTATGGCTGTTGCCCATATGTTTCTCATCTTCCTTATAAAATGCAGTGCATGTGTCTTTAGACCTGGTATTTTTGTTGTGGAATTGAGTGTCATTGATGCCTAGCCAACATTCTGGTGCTTTTATATTAGAGAATAGGGTTTAATATACCTGATTACATTAATAAAAATTTGTCTGTTACTGTTTTTTATTTGGTGTGATTTAGAAAATATGGAGAATTAAATAATTTCACTGAATGCCTACAGTGCAGTAACTGTGGGTTTTCAGTCTTAAAATGTGATAATAATGAAAGGCTGTTGTTGCTTCTACTTACAAGCTGTTTGAGTTAAGAAAAGATGGGAAGGTAATCTCGTGGTGGTACTGCTAGCCATGACTGCATGTCAGTGCCTCAGGGATAGGTACACCGACTTGAAGAGTACCTCTGGCTGCTTATGTGGCTGACTGATTTATATAGCGTAGCTATAGCGTGTATTTTCCCCGGAATTACGGTATCACTATCTATCTCTTCTTACAGATTCTTCTGCTTCACAACTGAAGAAGTGAAGGGAGGGCAAAGCAGTCTTTCTCATCTCTTCCTGCAGTTCTCTCAGCTTTGCCACTGATGAGAATTGTCAGGGGCTCCTAAATTGCTTTTGCAGGGTTTTACTGAATTAAAACGTAGAAAATGTACAGAGTGGTAAGTTATGAGTTGAAGTTCTCTGGTTAACTGAACTGAGTGCGATGAATTGGTGAAGCATCTGGAAATAACCAAGTTGCGCTATTAAATTAGAGGCGGTGTGGTCTCCCCTTGAAGGCTCCACCCTCAGTAGTTGGTAGTGGGAGCTGAGTTTCTGCAGTGACTGCCCTTACTTGGTCATATTGACCCCGTGCAAGTTGGGAATGAAGAAGAGATGAAGAAACCTACCTCAAAAAAGTCATGTAGTTTGAACAGCTGCCTCTTAAAACACTTAGATGAAATTATTAAACATAGAATGTAGGAAAAAAAAAAAAGGAGAATGAAATGTCCATGGTTCATTATTGAAATATGTATATATATACACGTACGCTTTTTTTAACTTAGTAAAGAAGTGGATGTTGATATGGTGGTTCTAACATAGTAACAGGTGGCCAGCCTGCTACAGATAAATATTGCGTACAATTCAGATGTTAAGTTTTAAAAACTGAATGTAAACAGATGTATCTAATTTTGATATCCTATCTGTGAGTTGTCTAGCTCTAACATTGGTTTAATTTTGTTATCCTATGTGGTCACACAAATAAGCCTGATTTTATGTCCTTTATTTAACTGTATTAGAGTTGAAAAGTTTCTTTCTCTCTTCACAGTTGACTGCTTTCTCTATTCTTTCTTCTCTTAGTATTTCTTACTGACTAAATTAGTCTTAAAGTCAAAACTTACAATTTATAACATGATCATAGTACTTGTCTCCTGTAAAACACACTGGGTCCCACATAAAGTTTATAACAGTCTGTCAATACTCTTTTGTCCCCTTTTGTCCGCACTTGTCTGTGCACCCATTTGCTATTTTGGGTATGCAGGACCTGGGGCAATGTGGCACTTGTCCATGTCTGGAGATTCTGATCACTAGGAGGTAGATACCGGGATGATCCTTTTCCGAATCCTAACCTGCTTTTAATGAAAGAATGCTGGGAAGAGCAGCTAGGAGACCATTTAAAAATGGTGAAGGATAAATACTAGGAGCTCTCATTATATATCAGTGAGGTGAAGATGCTTGCCTCAACTGGGCTTATTTCTGTGCTAGAGGTTTGTGTGTAGGGAGCTTTCAAGCCTTCCACTGGTAGTGTAAAGGGAGGAGGAGGTGGGAAAACTCTTCCCTATACTCTTCTCTCTAACCTTGAGGACCGGTGTTGTTCTGGCAGAGTTTGGGGCACCAAGTCCTCTATGTCCGATGTGGAGTTTCGGCCCCACAGAAAGGGGGTCATGGGTTAGCATGTGGCCTTCAACCAAAATTGGTACAGCTAAACAGTGGGGACATGCGTACCAACCTTAAATTGTTCCTCAGCATCCCTGTTCCTGAAGCATGCTGCCCTGAGAGTCTTTTCTTGTTGTTTTTTAATATAAAATAGTTTTGAGTGGTATTACCACCACGATCTGCAGTTCTAAGTCATCTTTACATCTCTTCATAGCTGGCCAGATTTATTTACCAGGATACAAAGCTTCCCTGACCTGAAATACTTCCGGGGAAGTAGAAATCAAGCTCTGTTCTCCTTGGGCTTGTACATGGTGATATCAAGTATTATTTCATTTTCTGTCGTCTTTTCAAAGAAGGTAGTTTCTAAGAAAAATGAGAGGGCTGAACTGTTGCCTGTCAGAGGTGTGTTTTTGTAGGATGATAGTGACACCGTGAAGTAAATGCCCAGCTCATTCAATGAAGACATGGAAGTAGTGTAAGAAGATGTGAATCCTGCTGGAATCATTTGGAAGACTGTCTGTGGCAGAGTAAGTGAATTGGGGAACAAATTATGCTCTCAATCATGGCTATAGTTCCTCTTTGAAGGAAACTTAATACTTCCCCC